TTTGTTAGATTTCTGCTGTTTCAAAGCACATCCTGTGTCAGACTTATCTTGGAGTCTTTCTAAGAGCAGTGGCAGAGCCACGAAATGCTCATTAGGATGGCACTGGTCAGGCATGAAAAACTGGGCACTGAGGTGTGGCTGAAAACTGATAGAGGCCAAAACTATTTTAATGTCTGTCTACTCTAATAGCACAGTACCAACAGGAAAATGAACAAGCAAAGTATATATAATTTACTAATTAATGATTTTGTTGAAGCCAATGCAAATCTATGTCTAAGTTGATTATGGTTCTGCATTATATATGTACTGACTGGGTTGTTGTTTATCTTTAAGGACATAGAAGACTCCTTGGTGAACGTACAGACTCATAACTTTCCCTTCTTCCCCATAAAGCCCAAAAACCTTGTTCTGAAAAGAGCAAGAGGTCCTATTTCACCTTTTTTAATGCTATTATGGTGTTGAGAATAATTTACTTACAACTGGAAAATCCCTTTGTTAGGACATTCTGAGAGTATCACTGCTGCCCCCTGCTGGTTTAGAGCAAACCTTCTGGTTTGCTTGTTCCCCTCTAAAACAAAGGAGGTACAATGTGTTTCAATGGAAATAATATAGCAGCTGGTAGGGGTGGCCAATGATAGGCAAAGGGGAGACATTAACACCCCTGGCCCCCTTCTTGTTCCGCCGCAGTCGAAGAGGCACCGATAACCCAGCAACATTACGGATAAGTAATTGATTTGCATCAAATTTGGGCTGGAATTTAGGAAACACTCATTTAAAGAGTCTCAAGATCAGGACTGAGCACCAGCAGCCTTGAATTGCTTTTTTTTTGTTTTGTAAGTTTTTTGGATGACATTTTTATTTCTACAAGAATAGTGTGAAATTTTGTCTTTTGACCCAATGTTGATGAGGAAAATGCATATGGCAATTAAAAGGGACAGGTAATAAGAATAAGGAGTCACAGGGATTAATTCAAAAACAAGGTTTTTATTTTTAACCAAAAAAAAAAACAAACTTACAAAAAGTATTTTGATTGATTGACAAAAGGTCAATCAAAAAGACAAACTAACTGACTACATAACCAAACATAACTAATCTTACAAAGAAATGACACACATGGGTATATACAGTGGGGCAAAAAAGTATTTAGTCAGCTACCAATAGTCCAAGTTCTCCCACTCAAAAAGATGA